TATTTGAGCCCTCTGCCCGGTAAAAAAAAATCAGACAATACTGGACACGTGCAGTGTCCAGTATTCTCTGATTTTTCCGGCTGGGCACCGGACGGAAGCCTGACATGGTTGGCCCCATCCCCACCAGGCTTCTGCACAATCACAGGCTCCCAGCGGAGTTCGTGGCCCCGCCTCCCAGCTGGGAGGTGGGGCCGCAATCGCTGCTGGGTGCCTCTGGTCGCATCAGAAGCCAGGCGGGGGCGGGGGAGAGTGGCTGGAACTCCCAGCAGGTATTTTTTGGGAGACCATCTGACATCCCTAGCAGCCAAAGCTCCAGAAGAAACAGAGAGCCTTACCCTGCCAACCCCTCCAGGCCGACTGGGTTGGGTCACTGGTGCCACTGCCATGCCCCAGAGACTATTCCAGGCTCCATGACCCCTGTGGGAGCCCTGTGACTATGAAAGGCTGCAGAGACCCCTGCTGAGGCCTATCCAGGACACAGACAGGGCCAGCAAGGAGACCCTGACCCTGGCTCAGCCTGCAGACAGGCCTGCACCCGGGAATCCTTTGAACTACTTAGCTGTTTGTTTGTTTGCCCCACCCTAATCCCAGGGCCTGGCTCAAAGACGGCTACTGTTTGTTCACTCCGTCCTCACCCCACAACAGGGCTCTGAGACTAGTGGCAGGGCAGCCTTGAGGCTGCTCATGGCTTGAGACCATTACACCCTGCCTTGCACACTTGCATGACAACAGACTCCACTGTGACTTTTCCAACTTCAAAATGACTTCCCCCTGAGCAGTAGCAATCCTGCAGGTCTGAAAATACAGAAGAACCACATATTTGCAAGGTTCATGAAAACAGTGCAAAGCTCTGAGTGTTCTATGCTCCTGTCAGAAGTGGCAGACATCAAAAAATGACATGCAGATTTGTGGCAGAACTGCCAAGCATGAAGGCATGCACCCCCAGCTGAGACCAACAAGGACAGTAAGCCCAGCTATAAAGGAAAGAAAACAGGGAGAGAGTAGGAGGCAGAAAGATCTGTGATAGTAGAGTGACAACAGTCCCTCATCAGGTTTGCTAAACTCTGGTCTATGCTACAGAATTATTTAGGTATAACTATATTACGCAGGGATGTAAATAATCCATACTCCCTGAGGGTATGTCTACACTACCCCCCTAGTTCAAACTAGGAACTAGGAAGCCTAGGAAGCCTAATCCGAACTAGCTAGTCCGTGTCGCGTGTAGCCGTGCGGCACGGGGTCCGACCTAGCTGGCATTTAAAAATGGCGCCGGCCGGCTTTATGCAAATGAAGCCCGGGAAATTCAAATCCCGGGCTTCATTTGCACCTCCGTATGACTACATTACCCCCCCAGTTCGAACTAGGGGGCTAGTGTAGACATACCCTCAGTGTCATAGTTATACCGACCTAAGCACCAGAATAGATAGCACTATGCTGGTGGAAGAGCTTTTCCCACCGATACAGCTACAGCCTCTCGTGGGGGCAGATTAACACAGCTGACAGGAATAGCTCTCCTCTCTTGATTTAAACGGGTTTCATTAAATTGCTACACTGGTGTGCATTTAACGCAGGGGTGGGCAAATACCGACCCCCACCTACAGCCCGTTTGCTAAATTAGCCCCTGGCGGGCCCCCCCACCACTGTATTTACCTACGCCTCCACAAGTATAGGGGATCACAGCTCCCATTGGCTGCGGAGGTCCAAGAAAATATAGTGGCAGGGGCCCAGTAGGGGCTAACCCTGGTGAATCCCCACTGTTTTATTGTCCATCCCTGATTTAAAGTGTAGGCCTGCCCTGAGAAACTGCAGGGAGATTTAGCCCTGGTGTTTAAGGACTGATTGAGTCATTTAAGTCAAGTTGATGGACTAAGCTGTACAAAGAAACTATTAACAGGGTGAGACTACCAGTGTATACCAATGTGATGTATTGTAATTCCCTGTGTAGAACTAAAGGTCAACTCACATCTTTAAATTTGTGTCTACAGCATCCAGATAAGGGAGTTACAGACCAGCAGTTTGGCACACATTGCTGTTCACGCTTAGGGTTGCCAGGTGTCCGGTATTGACCTAGACAGTCTGGTATTTTCACCTCCTGTCAGGTAAAAAAAATCAGAAAATACCGGACACCCAAAATATCCAGTATTTTCTGGTTTTTTTCCCTGCCAGGAGGTGAAAATACCGGACACCTGGCAACCCTATGACACACTCGGCAACTGGGCCCAGCCCCTGGCCTCCTCCCCACCCCCACAAACTCCTTGCCCGGGCCGCAATCGCTGCTGGGTGCCTCTGGTCGCATCAGAAGCCAGGCGGGGGCGGGGGAGAGTGGCTGGAACTCCCAGCAGGTATTTTTTGGGAGACCATCTGACATCCCTAGCAGCCAAAGCTCCAGAAGAAACAGAGAGCCTTACCCTGCCAACCCCTCCAGGCCGACTGGGTTGGGTCACTGGTGCCACTGCCATGCCCCAGAGACTATTCCAGGCTCCATGACCCCTGTGGGAGCCCTGTGACTATGAAAGGCTGCAGAGACCCCTGCTGAGGCCTATCCAGGACACAGACAGGGCCAGCAAGGAGACCCTGACCCTGGCTCAGCCTGCAGACAGGCCTGCACCCGGGAATCCTTTGAACTACTTAGCTGTTTGTTTGTTTGCCCCACCCTAATCCCAGGGCCTGGCTCAAAGACGGCTACTGTTTGTTCACTCCGTCCTCACCCCACAACAGGGCTCTGAGACTAGTGGCAGGGCAGCCTTGAGGCTGCTCATGGCTTGAGACCATTACACCCTGCCTTGCACACTTGCATGACAACAGACTCCACTGTGACTTTTCCAACTTCAAAATGACTTCCCCCTGAGCAGTAGCAATCCTGCAGGTCTGAAAATACAGAAGAACCACATATTTGCAAGGTTCATGAAAACAGTGCAAAGCTCTGAGTGTTCTATGCTCCTGTCAGAAGTGGCAGACATCAAAAAATGACATGCAGATTTGTGGCAGAACTGCCAAGCATGAAGGCATGCACCCCCAGCTGAGACCAACAAGGACAGTAAGCCCAGCTATAAAGGAAAGAAAACAGGGAGAGAGTAGGAGGCAGAAAGATCTGTGATAGTAGAGTGACAACAGTCCCTCATCAGGTTTGCTAAACTCTGGTCTATGCTACAGAATTATTTAGGTATAACTATATTACGCAGGGATGTAAATAATCCATACTCCCTGAGGGTATGTCTACACTACCCCCCTAGTTCAAACTAGGAACTAGGAAGCCTAGGAAGCCTAATCCGAACTAGCTAGTCCGTGTCGCGTGTAGCCGTGCGGCACGGGGTCCGACCTAGCTGGCATTTAAAAATGGCGCCGGCCGGCTTTATGCAAATGAAGCCCGGGAAATTCAAATCCCGGGCTTCATTTGCAACTCCGTATGACTACATTACCCCCCCAGTTCGAACTAGGGGGCTAGTGTAGACATACCCTCAGTGTCATAGTTATACCGACCTAAGCACCAGAATAGATAGCACTATGCTGGTGGAAGAGCTTTTCCCACCGATACAGCTACAGCCTCTCGTGGGGGCAGATTAACACAGCTGACAGGAATAGCTCTCCTCTCTTGATTTAAACGGGTTTCATTAAATTGCTACACTGGTGTGCATTTAACGCAGGGGTGGGCAAATACCGACCCCCACCTACAGCCCGTTTGCTAAATTAGCCCCTGGCGGGCCCCCCCACCACTGTATTTACCTACGCCTCCACAAGTATAGGGGATCACAGCTCCCATTGGCTGCGGAGGTCCAAGAAAATATAGTGGCAGGGGCCCAGTAGGGGCTAACCCTGGTGAATCCCCACTGTTTTATTGTCCATCCCTGATTTAAAGTGTAGGCCTGCCCTGAGAAACTGCAGGGAGATTTAGCCCTGGTGTTTAAGGACTGATTGAGTCATTTAAGTCAAGTTGATGGACTAAGCTGTACAAAGAAACTATTAACAGGGTGAGACTACCAGTGTATACCAATGTGATGTATTGTAATTCCCTGTGTAGAACTAAAGGTCAACTCACATCTTTAAATTTGTGTCTACAGCATCCAGATAAGGGAGTTACAGACCAGCAGTTTGGCACACATTGCTGTTCACGCTTAGGGTTGCCAGGTGTCCGGTATTGACCTAGACAGTCTGGTATTTTCACCTCCTGTCAGGTAAAAAAAATCAGAAAATACCGGACACCCAAAATATCCAGTATTTTCTGGTTTTTTTCCCTGCCAGGAGGTGAAAATACCGGACACCTGGCAACCCTATGACACACTCGGCAACTGGGCCCAGCCCCTGGCCTCCTCCCCACCCCCCGACACTCCCTGCCCCTGGATCCTCTGCTTACCTGGTTTCTCAGGGAAGCTGCGTTCTGGCTTGACCAAGAAAACAAAATGGTTGTGGCAAAAAGCCTAAAGACCAAGGGGAAGCAATGTCTTCCCTGGGTCTTAGTGCTCAACTGCTCCCCTGTTCCTATCCCTATTCTGACTCTGCATGCATTGAAAGGGGCCATGCTGTTTTATTTATTTATTTATTTATTGCTTATTAACTTTCTTAATTTCCCCTCAACAGATTATTTCCTCCGGTGTTTTTTTGGGGGGCAGGGTGTTCAGTATTTTTGGTTAAACCATCTGGCAACCCTGTTCTCGCTCCCTTTTTGTCCAAACTACAGGGCAATGTAGACATGGCCTTAGACTCCTAAGTCACATAGAGGCTTTTGAAAATATTCCTTCTCCTGCCTAGTCTCTCTCACAAAAGGAATAGAAATGTTCCTGGCTGCCTGTGATTTAGCATCAAACATCTGGCAGAAAGTCTCAGCATTCTTTACAGTACCATAGTTCCATTAGTTAAAATTAACGTATGTGGTAGGTTGTATTTCCCAGTTTAAATTTTAAAATTAACTAAAGTGTATTTTCAAATGCATTTATCCTTTCTTATGCAATATATGTAATACAAAATTAGGATACAACAATAAAAAAACCACATATTAAGCTCACCTACTGATAGGAGACGCCATGTCACAGCAGGAGTAGCAAAACAAGCAAACACATCATCAGTGCAGGCAAAGTGCGTAAGATGTGGAAGAATCACAGACTGACCACGGCACTGACCCCACATATACACATGACCACCCTGGGTTTTAGCAGCAGAAGTGTGAGCAGAATGGCAGGCTGCAATCTCAATAACTCTAAATTCACAAGCAAACAAAAACACTGGCATAAGGACAATGTGCATTGAAAAAATGTATTACTATATATCTAGCTTTGTAGGCTTGTACGCATTTCAATATTATGGGCATATATTCCTCCCATAAATGACAAAAAGTTTCCATAACATGCAAGACAATTGAAAATAAGATTGTTCACTATTTGTACATATGACAGCTAGTTGCTCCTCTCAAGTTTCACCTTGAAAACAGAAAATCATATTATCATAGAATATTTTACATTTTAATTAAATCCATATAAAATGCAACCATTACACTATATACCTGTCCTTAGAATTACTTCTAACTAACATGAATGCATTTGTAGTAACTAAATTATTCTGTGGGCCATTTTTAGAATATTTTCCAAATGAAGGAACTAGAACCAAGAAAGAACTAATTAAAAAGCATTACCTTCCACCTATTTTAATAGTGTTAAGATGCTTCACTAACCCCAGAGGTTGATTTTAGGTTTTCAAAACTCCCATCAAATTCAGTGTTACACAACCCACTGTTTTGCAGTCTGAATTGTAACTTGTCTGGTTAGTGGTGCTGCTGTATGCATATATATTTTAGGACAAAAACTTGCATTCCTGAGTGAGGTAACAATCTCATTGTCATAAGGAACACAGGATGAAGGTAACATATAACATTTTATTAAAATAAACATATATGACATGCACCAAAAATGTTTTAAACAAAAAACAAATAATAATACTTATAAGCAACAAAATAAGAGGAAATAATGCTACAAAATATCATCAAATAGCATTTTTTTCTTCCTTCTAATGGGTGGAGACAGAAACATCTATCAGTGGCATTATACTTATCTAAAGTCTTTCATGGTAGAAAACCAAAAATGGTTTATTTAATAAGATACCATTATACTCTAGTAAGGAACTCATTCACATTTCCATCAACAGAAACACACAATACTACATTATCCACAGAAACTATTCCATTACTGACTATCAGGATTAAGACTAAAGAATTTATAGACACTAAGTTTTTAGGTAGCAATATAATATTACTCCCTCACACCTTCCACGTACTAATGTAGGACTACAAAAACTTACAAACAGTAAAAATTGTAATATATCCACTATTCAGACTTTTTCCACATTTTTATCTGATCAATATTAATGGTAAACTTCAATACAAATAGCAAATACAATAAAAGAACGTAAATGTTGGTTTTGGTTTACTCAGTATATTAAGAGGCAGCACAGGACCAATGACGAGCATAAAAGTAAATCCATAAAATACTATGATAAGATGGATGCAGCTAAGTGATAAATAGAGGCAGGAAACAGACACTTCCAGAATTTATAGTCTCCCATTTGCATCTGATTATGATGGCAATGCAGATGTTTTCAGCAATGTCAAATTTCAACGTATTAATATAAATGACTTCCAATGTTAGAATCTCCTCAGGTTTACATCTGTGAAATCATCATAGCTAGCAACTACAAGTGTTTCTACCAAAAGAGAAGTAAAAGTCACTGTGATTTTATGCATCGCTTCTGTGATTATTTTGATTAGTGCCTTATTATTACAGTGTAAATATTACCTGTCCTTATCAACAATAATTGGTATGGGATAAGGCTGGTTACTTTTATTGCCAGTGCCTAACTGGCCATATGAATTGGCTCCCCAGGCATACAGCCGACCTTCATCTGTTAGCACTAATGTATGTGCATAGCCACAGGCAACCTACAATGAATAAAAAAAAAAACTTACATATTAGCATATTAATTCAGATACATAAATATATCTTCATATTGTTAATTTATATCCAAGAGTACAAACATGTAGCCAGTACAACTTATAAAATAACAAATACAGATCACACTATGATGGGGAACAGAAAGAGAATGGGTGACTTGGAACAAAGACATTCATGTGAAAAAACTAGCTTATATTTAAAAAAAAATTCACAACTCAAATAACCTCTTAAGACAGGCCTGGACAAAATTGGGCCAGCAGGATGGATCCTGCCAAGCCACCAGATCTGGCCCATGAATGCAGTGGGAAGCCTCAGGCAGACTCCCTGCTTCCCCTGCCCCTGCACACTGCTGAGAAAAGCGGCTATTGACCATTTGTATTTCACAGCTGTGGCAGGGTGTTAGATGTCATGCATTGTCCCGGGCCCTAGCACAATCCCATTGGCCGGATTCTAGCCAATGGGAACTGACTGTTTGAAGGACAGGCAGCACATGAAGCACCACGCCCTCCTTCTCTAAGGCTCTTATTCACAGATGCACAGGGTCACTGCAGCCTGTGCGGGGGTTCGGGGTGTGTGTGTGTATGGTAGGAAGGCTGCTTGAGAAACCTGCTGGGCTGATGGCCGGGAGCCACCCAGGTAAGTCTCCTGGCCAGAGCCTGCCTCTGGCATCCCAGCCTCTTCCTCTTCCCAACCCACTACCACCCCACATAATCCAAACCCTCTGCCCCCCTCCTGAACCCATATCCCCTTCAAGATCCTGTATCCCAATCCTCAGCCACAGGTCACAACCCCCTCCTGCACCTTAGATCACCACACACACCCCTGAACCTCCCCCTGAACCCAATCCCATCCTAGGTCACAACCCAAACCCCGGTACTCCCTCCTATACCTCAGTCCCCTGACGCAGATCGCACCCATTCCTCTCCCTGGTCACAACCCAAACCCCTGCACCCCAATCCCTTGCCCCAAGTCACAATGCCTTCCTAACATAGGTCACAACCCAAACCCCTGCACCTCCTCCTGCACCCTGGTCCCATGCCCTGGGTCATAACTGCCTCCGTCACCCAAATTACCTCCCAGACCCCATATGTCCTCCTACACCCCAATCCCTTATCCCAAGCTTCCTTCTGCACCCAATCTCCACCCTAGACCTCACACCTCCATTAATATCATGGAAGAGTGCAGTCCTTGAACACATTCCAAAATCTTGGAATGACCCCATCAAAAATTATTGCCCACCCCTGTCTTAAGAGCACAGTAAGAGTTAATACAAAAGAAGAAATAACATAGGCTCATTGAAACAAGACAAGGAAACTTCAGAAGTTGGTGGAGTAAGACATAACTAGGAGAACTTTACGAAGTTTGCATTAAAACTCCTATCATGGCATAAATTCAAGTTTGGAACTATGGGCCTAAGACTATGTAAGCACTTGCTAACTATTAGGAGTAGTCACACACATAGACTCAGACTCAAAGACTTTAAGGTCAGAAGGGACCATTATGATCATCTAGTCTGACCCCCTGCACAGTGCAGGCCACAGAATCTCACCCACCCCTCCCAGAATAATCCTCTCACCTATATCTCAGATATTGAAGCCTTCAAATACTTTGAAGACCCCAAGATGCAGAGAATCCTCCAGCTGTGATCTGTTCACACCTTCCACGTACTAATGTAGGACTACAAAAACTTACAAACAGTAAAAATTGTAATATATCCACTATTCAGACTTTTTCCACATTTTTATCTGATCAATATTAATGGTAAACTTCAATACAAATAGCAAATACAATAAAAGAACGTAAATGTTGGTTTTGGTTTACTCAGTATATTAAGAGGCAGCACAGGACCAATGACGAGCATAAAAGTAAATCCATAAAATACTATGATAAGATGGATGCAGCTAAGTGATAAATAGAGGCAGGAAACAGACACTTCCAGAATTTATAGTCTCCCATTTGCATCTGATTATGATGGCAATGCAGATGTTTTCAGCAATGTCAAATTTCAACGTATTAATATAAATGACTTCCAATGTTAGAATCTCCTCAGGTTTACATCTGTGAAATCATCATAGCTAGCAACTACAAGTGTTTCTACCAAAAGAGAAGTAAAAGTCACTGTGATTTTATGCATCGCTTCTGTGATTATTTTGATTAGTGCCTTATTATTACAGTGTAAATATTACCTGTCCTTATCAACAATAATTGGTATGGGATAAGGCTGGTTACTTTTATTGCCAGTGCCTAACTGGCCATATGAATTGGCTCCCCAGGCATACAGCCGACCTTCATCTGTTAGCACTAATGTATGTGCATAGCCACAGGCAACCTACAATGAATAAAAAAAAAAACTTACATATTAGCATATTAATTCAGATACATAAATATATCTTCATATTGTTAATTTATATCCAAGAGTACAAACATGTAGCCAGTACAACTTATAAAATAACAAATACAGATCACACTATGATGGGGAACAGAAAGAGAATGGGTGACTTGGAACAAAGACATTCATGTGAAAAAACTAGCTTATATTTAAAAAAAAATTCACAACTCAAATAACCTCTTAAGACAGGCCTGGACAAAATTGGGCCAGCAGGATGGATCCTGCCAAGCCACCAGATCTGGCCCATGAATGCAGTGGGAAGCCTCAGGCAGACTCCCTGCTTCCCCTGCCCCTGCACACTGCTGAGAAAAGCGGCTATTGACCATTTGTATTTCACAGCTGTGGCAGGGTGTTAGATGTCATGCATTGTCCCGGGCCCTAGCACAATCCCATTGGCCGGATTCTAGCCAATGGGAACTGACTGTTTGAAGGACAGGCAGCACATGAAGCACCACGCCCTCCTTCTCTAAGGCTCTTATTCACAGATGCACAGGGTCACTGCAGCCTGTGCGGGGGTTCGGGGTGTGTGTGTGTATGGTAGGAAGGCTGCTTGAGAAACCTGCTGGGCTGATGGCCGGGAGCCACCCAGGTAAGTCTCCTGGCCAGAGCCTGCCTCTGGCATCCCAGCCTCTTCCTCTTCCCAACCCACTACCACCCCACATAATCCAAACCCTCTGCCCCCCTCCTGAACCCATATCCCCTTCAAGATCCTGTATCCCAATCCTCAGCCACAGGTCACAACCCCCTCCTGCACCTTAGATCACCACACACACCCCTGAACCTCCCCCTGAACCCAATCCCATCCTAGGTCACAACCCAAACCCCGGTACTCCCTCCTATACCTCAGTCCCCTGACGCAGATCGCACCCATTCCTCTCCCTGGTCACAACCCAAACCCCTGCACCCCAATCCCTTGCCCCAAGTCACAATGCCTTCCTAACATAGGTCACAACCCAAACCCCTGCACCTCCTCCTGCACCCTGGTCCCATGCCCTGGGTCATAACTGCCTCCGTCACCCAAATTACCTCCCAGACCCCATATGTCCTCCTACACCCCAATCCCTTATCCCAAGCTTCCTTCTGCACCCAATCTCCACCCTAGACCTCACACCTCCATTAATATCATGGAAGAGTGCAGTCCTTGAACACATTCCAAAATCTTGGAATGACCCCATCAAAAATTATTGCCCACCCCTGTCTTAAGAGCACAGTAAGAGTTAATACAAAAGAAGAAATAACATAGGCTCATTGAAACAAGACAAGGAAACTTCAGAAGTTGGTGGAGTAAGACATAACTAGGAGAACTTTACGAAGTTTGCATTAAAACTCCTATCATGGCATAAATTCAAGTTTGGAACTATGGGCCTAAGACTATGTAAGCACTTGCTAACTATTAGGAGTAGTCACACACATAGACTCAGACTCAAAGACTTTAAGGTCAGAAGGGACCATTATGATCATCTAGTCTGACCCCCTGCACAGTGCAGGCCACAGAATCTCACCCACCCCTCCCAGAATAATCCTCTCACCTATATCTCAGATATTGAAGCCTTCAAATACTTTGAAGACCCCAAGATGCAGAGAATCCTCCAGCTGTGATCTGTACCCCATGCTACAGAGGAAGGCGAAAAACCTCCAGGGCCTCTGCCAATCTACCCTGGAGGAAAATTCCTTCCCGACCCCAAATATGGCGATCAGCTAAACCCTGAGCATGTGGGCAAGACTCACCAGCCAGACACCCAGAAAGTTCCCTATAGCAACTCCTATCATCCCTCCATTGACCTATTTCCAACTGATAATGAATGGTCAATTAGTTACCAAGATCATGTTATTTCATCCAACCATCCCCTTATCATAGAATCAGAACTGGAAGAGACCTCAGAAGGTCGTCAAGTCCAGCCCTCCGCTCTAGGCAGGACCAATCCCATCTAAATCAACCCGGCCAGGGCTTTGTCAAGCCGAGACTTAAACACCTCTAGGGATGGAGACTCCACTACTTCCCTAGGTAACCCATTCCAATGCTTCACTACCCTCCTAGTAAAATAGTTTTTCCTAATATCCAATCTGGCCCTCTCCCACCACAACTTGAGACCATTGCTCCTTGTTCTGCCATCTGTCACTACTGAGAACAGCCTCTCTCCATCCTCTTTGGAACCTCCCTTCAGGAAGTTGAAGGCTGCTATCAAGTCCCCCCTCACTCTTCGCTTCTGCAGACTAAACAGACCCAAGTCCCTCAGCCTCTCCTCGTAGGTCATATGCTCCAGACCCCTAATCATTTTGGTTGCCCTCCGCTGGACCCTCTCCAATGCGTCCGCATCCTTTTTGTAGTGGGGGGCCCAGAACTGGACACAGTACTCCAGATGTGGCCTCACCAAAGCCGAATAAAGGGGAATAATGACATCTCTGGATCTGCTGGCAATGCTCCTCTTAATGCATCCTAATATGCCATTAGCCTTCTTGGCTACAAGGGCACACTGTTGACTCATATCTAGCTTCTCATCCACTGTAACCCCCAGGTCCTTTTCTGCAGAACTACTACTTAACTGGTTGGTCCCCAGCCTGTAACTATGCTTGGGATTCTTCCGTCCCAAGTGCAGGACTCTACACTTGTCTTTGTTGAATCTCATGAGATTTCTAGTGGCCCAATCCTCCAATTTGTCTAAGTCACTCTGGACCCTATCTCTGCCCTTAAGCGTATCTACCTCTCCCCCTAGCTTAGTGTCATCTGCAAACTTGCTGAGGGTGCAATCTATCCCCTCATCCAGGTCATTAATAAAGATATTGAACAAAACCGGTCCTAGAACCGAACCTTGGGGCACTCCACTAGAAACCGACCTCCATCCTGACATCGAACCGTTGATCACTACCCGCTGGGCCCGGCCTTCTAGCCATCTTTCTATCCATCTTACCGTCCATTTATCCAATCCGCATTCCCTTAACTTGCTGGCAAGAATATTGTGGGAGACCGTATCAAAAGCCTTGCTAAAGTCAAGGTATATAACATCCACTGACTTTCCCATGTCCACTGAGCCAGTTACCTCATCATAGAAGCTAATCAGATTGGTCAAGCACGACTTGCCCTTTGTGAATCCATGCTGACTATTCCTGATCACTTTCCTCTCATTCAAGTGTCTCAAAATGGACTCCTTTATGATCCCTTCCATGATTTTTCCAGGAACCGAGGTAAGACTGACCGGCCTATAGTTCCCTGGATCGTCCTTCTTCCCTTTTTTGAAGATGGGCACTACATTTGCCTTTTTCCAATCATCCGGGATTTCGCCCGATCTCCACGACTTTTCAAAGATAATGGCCAAAGGCTCCTCAATGACATTTGCCAACTCCTTCAGTACCCTTGGGTGCATTAAGTCTGGACCCATGGATTTGTGTACGTTTAGTTTTTCTAAATAGTTCCTAACCTGTTCTTTACCCACCAAGGGCTGTCCATCTTCTTCCCATCTTGCGTCGCTTAGCACAGAAGTCCAGGAGCCGACCTTGTCCGTGAATACAGAGGCAAAGAAAGCATTGAGTACTTCAGCTTTCCCCACATCCTCTGTCACTAGGTTACCTCCTTCATCCATTAGGGACTGCACACCCTCTCTGATCACCTTCTTCTTGTTGACATGCCTGTAGAAACCTTTCTTGTTATCCTTCACATCCTTAGCCAGTCGCAACTCCATTTGCGCTTTCGCCTTCCTGATAACCCCCCGGCATTCTCGAACTATACATTTAAGCTCCTCCCTAGTCATTTGTCCAAGTTTCCACTTTCTGTAAGCTTCCTTTTTGTGCTTAAGTACACCAAGGATTTCCCCTGTAAGCCAATCCGGTCTCCTACCAGGTTTGCCTCTCTTGCTACGTGTCGGGATGGTTTCTTTCTGTGCCTTCAATAAGGCTTCTTTAAAATACTGCCAGCTGTCCTGGACTCCTTTCCCCTTCATGTTAACATCCCAGGGGATTCTTTCCATCAGATCTCTGAGGGAGTCAAAATCTGCTTTTTTGAAGTCCAAGGTGTGTATTTTACTACTCTCTTTCCTTCCTTTGGTCAGGATCCTGAAATCTACCATCTCATGATCACTGCTTCCCAGGTTGTCACCCACCTCTACGTCCCCTATTAGTTCCTCCCTGTTTGTGAGGAGAAGGTCAAGCTGTGCACGGCCCCTGGTCGGATCCTTCAGCACTTGTACCAAGAAGTTATCCCCAACATTCTCCAAAAACTTCCTGGATTGCCTGTGTACTGCCGTATTGGTTTCCCAACAGATGTCAGGGTGATTAAAGTCCCCCATGAGAACCAGGGCCTGCGATCTGGAAGCTTCGCTCAGTTGTTCGAAGAAAGCCTCATCTACCTCATCCACCTGGTTCGGTGGCCTGTAGCAGACACCAACCACAACATCACTGCTGTTTGCTCCTTTAAACCTGACCCATAGACTTTCAACAAGTTTTTCTCCCTCTTTATACTGGAGTTCAGAGCAATCATAGTGCTCTCTTACATATAGTGCAACTCCTCCTCCTTTTCTCCCCTGCCTATTCTTCCTGAACAATCTATACCCTTCCATGACAGCGCTCCAGTCATGCGAGTCATCCCACCAAGTCTCTGTTATCCCAATTAAATCATATTTCTTGGCCTGGGCCAGGGCCTCCAGTTCTTCCTGCTTGTTGCCCAGGCTTCTCGCATTAGTGTACAAACACTTCAGGTAACCAGTTGATTGCACTATCTTCTCCATTCGAAACTGGGGTCCTCCTTTCTCGCTCCTTGCTCTATGCATTTCTTCCCGGTATCTGACTTTCCCACTCCCCTCAGGGTTTTGAGGAGCCAGCTTTTAAGATTTTAAAAGACTCATCCATGCACTGGGTACACAGTAACACTTCCATATGCCTAATTCTTACCCATTTGGACCACTGGATAGAAGCAATGTCTATACTGGAGGGTTTTTTTGGGGGGGAGGGAATTTCTCACTGTTAGTACCACCCTGGTGACTTCTCTGGTGTTGGTAACAGTGGGAGTGCTAGTGTTGACCAGCCTCCAATGGGTACTAGTAGGGATGTTAGAGAGAACTTATTTTAGTAATCGTGTAGCCACAATGATTTTTAGTGGTCACACGGTTACTAAAACGCTCCTCCTCCCCCCCTGGGGGCAAAGGCCAACAGCCAGTGCACTCCTAGCTCGCAGCCCCACTCCCTGGGAGCCCCCTATCACCATAGACCTGCCTTTTCTTAGTGACAGTGAAATTCTCTAGTCTATCTCTAGCTTCCTCTGGCTGCAAGTCCTTGCCATTCCTATTTTCCCTTGTAATCCTCTTTAACCCATCCTGTATCCTCCTAATGCTCATTATTGGTGTTGTCTCCATTAAGTCTTCCCCTTTATCTATGGGACTAGCCACTCTTCTCTTCTTCCTTACCCTTCCATCTTCATTATCTACCTGCTGTACCCCTTCTTCATTCTCCAGCTCCACATACCTGTTCTTGAGCTCTATTTTTCCTTCACTGACCCATCTTTTCCTCTGCCTGGTTCTCTGAGTCACATGCTTCCACTGTCCATTTTCTTCGCCCAGCAGTCCCCCCTCTGAGGCCCTTGATCCTGCTTCCATCTGCATATCTAAGCTTTCCCCTTCAGCCACGTCATGCCTTTGCCCCATCATCTGCTCAAACCCCCTTCTAAACTCGACCAGAGTTTCCACCTGCATCTCCAGTCCTCGGATCTTTTCTTCCATCAGCTCTATCAGGCGGCACTTTATGCAAACAAAACTCCTTTCAGGTACCTCCTCCAGAATCATGTACATACCGCAGCTACCACATCCAATCATCCTCCTTGTGTTCTCTACTACTTGGGCCATGGCCACTAATGCCTCTGTGTTTTATCTACTTTCTCACCAAAATCCTATTAGTCCAGTGAACACAAAAACAGACCAAAACACCCTCTCCACAGCAAAAACAAACTCCAAACAAGTTCCAATAAACAAAATCCCACTCAAACTCCCCTGTTTACAGCTCTGTTTGCTTGGCTCTTGTGCCACTGCAGCTATCTGCAGCTATACTTAACTAAAGTATTAAACACTATGGCTTCTATCCAGCTAAGAGCTTGAGACTTAAGTGCTAAAGCATGTGAGGAATCCCACTGACTTCTATAGGAACAGTTATGTGCTTATAGTTAAACATATACTTAAGTGTACTTAAGTCCTTTGTTGAATCAAGGTTTATATCTAGGTGTAAATATTTGGGACCTAAATCAGTACTCATTAAAAGCAATTCTTTCTTAAAAGGAAAAAGAAAAAGATAGTGAAAATGGGAATACTCTTTTTCTTAGTTATGCTAGGGAACTCTTTCTCCACTAGCATTCCCTCCCAGCTAAGTTATCTCTTGTGTGGGCCCTTACCTGTGAATGCGACTTGGATAAAAAGCTATATGTGTTTATGTATTTATTTCAATTGACAAAAACCATCCATCCAGTGCTCTGGGTACATTTGCACTCAGTTACAACAATTAGGAACCAATGTTCAAAAGACTGCTTTCCTAAATCCCCCATCATCCTCCACTGACAGATATCTCCAGCACCATCTTTTATCAATTCATTTTCTTCTTCCTAGGAACAGCCAAGGAGAACAGTGAGTCTTGCAGTGTGCCTGGTGGTCAACAAACTTTGGCTTTGACAAACTAAAGTAGATGTCAATGAAAGATGAGAGTGCTGATTATCTTTCAAGAGGAACTAAACATAGATGATCAGGATCTCTAAAATTTCACAGATGGAAATCCTCGCTCCCCTGAAGTCTACAGCAAAATTCCCATTGTCATCAATTGGGCTACATTTTCACCTTTTTCTCTAGTGGAGCGGAAGGTTCATTTTTTCAGAGATATACTCTCATTACTTCGTATATGGCTTTAACCTAACCACTAAAGCCTCACCTCCATTGCGTGCAGAATATTCCCTTTAGAATTTGCATTTCCAAATGCTATTTCTTCCATTCATAAACAGTTTGACATGATATAAAATAATAAACATACCCGCTGCACACGAATGCCTTGCAAAGCAGCTATTCTGCAGGGTGTTGGCTGATTACCACTGTTGCCCAATCCGAGCTGGCCATTACCATTGTAACCCCAGACGTAGACCTTAAAAGGAAGATTGAGATTTGAATTAAGTATATTTATTTCAAGAGAAGTAGAGAAAATACATAATAAATGATTATATAGTGCTGTGATGTTCAGTTCTCTGCAATGACACATCCTCTTCCAGTGATTTAAAAAAATAAACTTGAACATTATATGGGAGGGATCATACACAGTTTCTATTGACAATATCAACTACATAGTGTACTAAAATTCAACCCCTAAATATTCTGTTTGCCCAGTCCTAGTCTTCCAGAAACATATCAAACACATAGAAGTGGGCTACCAATAATAGCTCTGTTCTTTGGAATGCAAAGCAAGGTCTGCTTCTAACTTCCTTTGTCAGAGAGATCATCTCTCATATAAAAATCAATCTAAAAAGAAAACAAATCAAAATATCCTGCACTGGAAAAAGCAGGTCTTAAATATATGTGATATAGTTTGAGTAGACTATTAAGGATATTATTCTGAATAGAGATGTAAAAATGGTTAATAATGTAACGGTGTAACTGTTAAAAATCTTAGTGGTAACACGGTACAGGTTCTGCAGTATAAAGTGCAGCCAGCTACCCATGAATGGGGCTGGCAGCCAGGAGCTGGTGGTGCACACCCGGAGCCAGCTACTGGCCCCACTCTCTGGGTACAGGCTTTATACTGCAGATCCTACAGTGCAGGGTGACAGCCGACTCTCTGGGAGCAGGGCTGGCAGTTAGAGCCGGTGCGTGTCGTGAGCCAGCTTTCGCGTACCTAGGGTTGCCAGGTGTCCGGTATTGTACCGGACAGTCCGGTATTTGCGCGCTCTGTCCGGTAAAAAAAATCAGAAAATGTCCGGTATTTTCTGATTTTTCCAGCTGTGCACCGGACGGAAGCCTGGCATGGGCGGGGGGAGTGGCTGGGAGTCCCAGCTGGGAGGAGGGGCCGCGATTGCTGCCGGGAGCCCTCAGGCAGTTGAGTGTGAGGAGGAGGGGAAGCCTCTTCCTCGCTCATGCGCCGCCGAGAGCCTACGCAGGACACACAGCAAGTGCCCAGGTCAGTCCTGCTCCACGCTGGGAAATTTGCTCACCCCCCCCTTCCCGGCTGGTTCTCCCCCACTTTCCCTCCTGATCTTCCCCGGCTAGCCCCCCTGCACCCTCCCAGCTCTGCTTCCCACCAGCCCGTTCCTCTTCCTGTTAGTTTAACGTCTGTCCCAGGGAAGATAATGGAGCAGGGTAATTAAGGAAATCATATGCAAACTCTTGGAAGGTAATAAAGTGATAGGGAATAGCCAGCATGGGTTTGTGAAGAACAAGTCATGCCAAACTAATCTGATAGCTTTCTTTGATAGGATAACGAGCCTTGTGGATAAGGGAGAAGCGGTGGATGTCATATACCTAGACTTTAGTAAGGCATTTGATACGGTCTCGCATGATATTCTTATTGATAAACTAGGCAAATATAACTTAGATAGGGCCACAATAAGATGGGTGCATAATTGGCTGGATAACCATAGTCAGAGAGTTGTTGTTAACCTCTAAAAATTTGAAATGTAGGTCAGACCCCTTTGGAAATCTTAGATGTACTCTGTGGACCCCCATGTTGTCCACAGATCACAGTTGAAAAATCACTGTTCTATGGCAACAATGACCTTTTACAGACCCTCATGGACATAGTCTGTGGACGACATGGGTCCACAGGCCTGAAATTGAAAAACACTGGCCTGCACCATTAATGACCCAAGGGAGCCTTATTCTTGAACCTCATTGAAATTTCTTTACATAGTTAAAGAATCTATACTATAAATATTACTGCATCAGAAATAATTTCTGGTAAGTCTTTAAAGTCATTGAGCCAAATTGACTTTAGATACTTGCACACAGCACACTGAATTCAGTGAGAGTTGTACTTGTTAATGTGAAAGCAGGATTTGGACTTTCCTCTTGCGGTATCTATGAGACAATGTATGTGTGCCTGTATCTATAGTGTAGACGCTAAATTCCTTGTATCTTTGTAAAGTAGCCACACTATAAAGCCCTGTATAGACAAAGTGAAAACTGTAGTAGGATACTATGAAGCAACTCCATGGAATATTTGCAATTTCGTAAAAGAAAGGATTTAATGTTCTCCCTTCATTGCTGTACTTTGTAAATTAAATAATCTGGTAATATAAAAATGTATATAGGTACTAGTTCTAGTTATATCTGAGACTAAAAAGCCATTGAAAGTTGTGTTGTGAATGTAATACTATAACCATTTTGAAAGTCTCAGAGAGGTAGCCATGTTAATCTGTAACTAACAAAATTTTAAAAACAACAATGGTCCTGTAGCACCTTAGAGATCCACATGGGTGGATCCTTACAGCTGCTCACAACCCAGCTAAAGTGAAATGTGGGTTCTTCTGCCCACAGATAATATGGCAGGGCTAAGCTGTTAGTGGACTGAGGGCAGATCTACACTGAACCTGGAAGGAAGGCTTAAGGTACACAACTGCAGCTACGCAAAATGCATACTTGGAGTAATCTTACCTTAAGATGAGCCGTGGTGGCGTCCACACTGAGGGAGGCTGACAGGAGCAAAAGCCTCCCATCAGCTTCCCTTACTCCTCACAAAGAGAGGAGCGCTGAACACTGGCAGGAACTGCCTTTAGCATTCGATTTACGGGTGTATACTAGACCCGCTAAATTAAACTGCCAGAGTGTCAATCTTCCAGTAAAAATAGACATACCCTGAATTTCAAGCTTCCCTATCTCCCCCGGTCAGCCCTATTGCCCCACTGCCCCCAGCTAGCTGTTTCCAGGCCCCCCACCTTCCCGGCCAGCACCGCTCCCTTCCTGTTTGGTCCTTCCTCCCCTCACCCCATGAAGCGTGTCCGTTTTTTTTTTTTCTTTTTAATGACTACCTGGTAACACCTAGCAGTGATCCAGGTTCTTGGAGTTGTTGTTTTTTTGTGTGTGTGTGGGTTTTTTTTGCGGAACAACTTTGGTCCCCCCCCCTTTTTTTCTTCAACAAATTTTTTTCCTAGAACTGCTACGGCCTGGTAGCCAGAGGTCCGTAGCCTGGGAGTTGGGAACCACTGTTTTATATACTGATCTTGAAGGCAGCATGCCAGAAGGCTTTGCTGCTGACCCGAGGGGTACTGCTAAGGGGAAAAATTCTCCAATGATCATGTACAAATCGTACACACACATCTACTGAAATGCACATGAGCAACCACTCAAAGAAGAAATCTCCCTTGCCTGATTCTTCTGATGGTTGAGTGCTGCTTCACAAAGAGTCACTCCTGATATATTTCTTCCTATGTCCCAAAGAACTGCTTCTTATAATACCTCCAGGTGGGGAGGCAACCAGTTACATGAGTGACAAAGGGACACCATACACACACTCTGGAAAATGAATGGGAGGACTAGATTTCAAGCATATTAGTAACTGGAGTAACAGTGGAAAGAAGAGTCATATGGAAGCTCTATCCCACAGAGTCTAGATGGAAACTATACTGGGTCAACCGAGTTTAAAAAGTTAGGGAATCATTGGATTAAAGTCTAAAAAATTAAAGTTGGGTTCAAATATTTATTCTTTAAAGAATGTAATGAACTATTTTAAATGAATTCTTTTCCATTTAGGGCTCATCTGGACTGCATTCCTCTCTCAAAAGAGGAATGCAAATGAAGCAGATTAAAATTCAAATGAAGCGCGGATTTGCAAATCTTGTGCTTCATTTGCATAATCACATGAGAGCGTTTTTCGAAAAAGGTTTTTTTTTTAAAAAAAAAAACCCAAAGTCTAGACAGAGTTCTTTCGAAAAAAAACCAAACTTTTTCCAAAAGCGCCTGTACTCCTGAAAAAATGAGGAATACGGGTTCTTTCGAAAAAGGGTTTTTTTCTTCGAAAGAACCCCATCTAAACTATGGGGTTTTTATTTCCAAAATCCTTTTTTCAAAAAAGGGCTCTCACATGATTATGCAAATGAAGTGTGAGATTTGCAAATTTGTACTTCATTTGAATTTTCTATCTGCTTCATTTGCATTCCTCTTTCAAGAGAGGAATGCAGTTTAGACATAGCCTTATCGCAGTGATTTGTTCTGAAAGGTGTAATTTTAACTAATTTGGATAAAGTGTCTCTCAGATGACGTGTTTATAGTGGGGACAGTGGGAACAAATAGGACAATTTCTGATAAAAAGGTTCTTATAACAGTACAGATTAGGAGATTTGAAATTTACAGATTAATATTACTTTTCTCAACAGTTTTAGTTGTGACCAAGCTTGCAAAGGTAGATGCTATTAATAATTTGTAGCCAATAATACTGAATAAAATAAAATTCAGTTAGAAAAATTAACTGTAAAACTTTAAAAACATTCTTACCTCCCCATTTTCTACTACAGCCATTGAGCACATCTGTCCACAAGATATACTGACAGCTATCTTATTTTGTAAGCAGCCGGTAACTCTTCGAGGAATTGGCTGATTAGCAGTTGAACCAGATCCAACCTGTCCTGAATTATTATAACCCCATGCATACACCTGTTATAGAAGAGTTATTAACAGAATAAAACTGTAACATGCTTCTTTAACCAAAGATACAAGAGATATAGAACTTATGTAAAATGCACATATTAGAAATACATTCTAAGGATTGAAACAATTCTTTTCTGTGAATCTATGAAAGACACAGAAATATTTTTCTTTTTTATTGTCTTCCAGGAATCTGCCACCCTTTCCAACTCTAATTTCTAATGTTCGGACCATTTAAAAAAACAATAAATCCTTCTGTAATATCAAAGATTATGTATCCTGTGGGGTATGCTTGTGATTCTTAGTCTACAGTTATTGGAAGAAAAAAATAGGACAATTGGACACCAACATTATCTCAGAGTATTACGGAGCAGTATTTTATACTTCAGTGGGTTTGGATACATAACTTCCACATATGCACAGGGTTTTATTTATTACCAAATTTAATGGTGTGAAGAAATTTTTCACAGCAGGCCATAATAGGAGAGATCACAGGGATTTTTAGCCAGCCTTTGCAATACCAAGTGCTTGTTCCTTCATTAGGATCAGATACCTAACATAAGCAACTTCCTGCAACAACTATTGGCAGACCTCAGATCTTCCCATTATTATTAAATAAGTACATCACAGCAGCACCTACATTACAGCCACGCTAGGTCCCATTGTACTAGGCACTATATGCTTTTCTGCTTCCAGAACCCTATATAAATTCCATAGAAAGGAAAATAAAATTTATACAGATTTATGCTAACTTCTCACCTCTCCATCAGATGTTAACACCATGGAATGGTGAGAGCCACAGGCGACTTCAATTACTTTCTTGTTTACCAAGTTAGTAGAGACTTGACAGGGAATTAAACCATGATTTGTTGTACCATTGCCCAGTTGACTATAAGCATTATGGCCCCATGTGTACACTTCTCCTTCTATAATAAAAACGTGAAAAATCAACTTTAAAACATCTACTTATCTAATTACTACGCATCACAAGAGGACACAAAAAGAAAACATTGAGTTCAACAATGGTGCACTCTTCCTATTTAAGTATTTATATATTCCTCTAAGCTATTAGTCCCATGTACATAAGAATGCTATTTTACTCACAATGTTTATTAAATGCCTCAAAGGGTAATATCCAGGGAATCAGATCAAAAGAAAATGACAGGAGATAGTATGATCTATAGGAGAGGCCACAGGAATGGGAGTCAGATGAGACCTGAATTCTATTCCCAGTTCTGCCTCTTCTGGCCCTGGCCCTGGACAAATAATTTGTCTCTGTGTCTTAGTTTTCTCATCAAAATCGGAATAGTGATATTTTCCATTCTTTGAAAAGTACTTTGACTCCCTCAGATGAAAATCATTATATGGTGCTAAATATTCTCATTATTTTTTTTTAATTATTATTATTCATGTATATCATCTCTACTTTTTATTCTTGAAAAGTATACTTGGAAGTGTTTTAGGAGCCATAGTATATCCTATCAGGAAAGTTAAACAAATGTTTGAGGTTCCATTTCAATGCCTATCTATTGGGATATTAACTATAGAATAACTATAGAATAATTATTAATCCTCCCACAGAATATATACCCTACATTTTCACCAATATGATATCAATCTAAGAAGAAAGATTGTCGGCTTCATTCTCAGAACTCAGATTTCTCACAAATAGTTGGGCCAACTGAAGCAGGCACACATTTTAAAAATAACATTATTCTATCACATATTACCTGCTGTAGCAACAACAACATGGGGACCACTTCCATAGCTCAGACACGCTATCTTTTTGCCACATAAAGTATCTAATCTCCGTGGTTCAATAGTGTTCTGAATGTCACCAGTTCCCAAACAGCCACTGCAGTTGGTGCCAAGCACAAACACCTGTTATAAAATCTTATTGTTAATTTAACAAGTCATTTATTTCTATAGCAACATTTACTATTTACATTAAAATAATCAATCCTAAACTTTCTTTATTCAGTAATTAACGTATGGTTCTTCTCCAGGGTCTGTGATCATAATTCTGGTTTTTCTGCCAATCTATCTTGAATTAGTAATGATTTACAGAATATTTACAGAATACTATTCCACTAATACAAACGTTCTCTGATAATTACCTCATCATTTTCAGTTGCATACAACACTTCATTACCAGCACTGCCAAATACACAGGCTTGACGAATTAACTTCAGTTCTTCTTGAGAGCAGAGAGCAAAAATTGGCCATTTTCCAACATCCAGCATCTTCAGGGCTGATAAGAAAGTAGCTTGTATCACCTGCTGAGATTAAAAAAGTGATATCAGCTATTTAGAAAAAAATAAAATGTTCAACTTTGTACAATGAAATGGCTAAATCCAAAGAAAAATTAAACAGTAGATAAAAATAGTATCCCTTTCTTTGCCAGCCACAAACAAAACTTTTATCTTATTTTAAAAGTATGGGGAAAACTCCTCAGAAATGGGAACTGTGGGTATCTGGACTTACAGCTGATCTGCAGTCAGTGATGCTGCACAAAGTGGTGATCTCTTTTTTTGAGTTGGAAAACAAGAGAGTCCTCTGGGAGCAAGGAGCTTCCCACTGAGCCCAAAGGGGCCACTGATATGAGTAAGGTACTGGTGTGGCCAGTAGGTGCCACACCAAGGACCTCCATTCTGGCTATGGAGTTCATGCCATCTCTGGTAGCTGTATTAGTCTACGGGTGGCCTTCAGACTTCTTCCAGTGAAGTAGAATGGAAGGATGAGAATCCTGACTCTGAAGCAGAGGTGTCCGAGGATCTCAGAGATGCAGAATGAGCAATTCTGGAGGAATCAACAAGCAGTTCAACTCATCCATGACCCAGAAATGGAATTAGCTTTGGCTCTCTTGTTGTAATCAGCACCACTAGTGCTAAAGACAAGGTAATGCCTTGATGTTGAGGGTGGTGACAACTTCCATGGAACCATCTGCAGCATCAAATGAATTGGTGCTAAGGAAGGATCCAGTACTGAAGAACCTTGTACTGGCTACAATATTGTGTCTATATCAACCCCCAGAAAGGGTGCTTCCTGGTACAGTGCCAAAGGGCCCAAGAGTTCAGTCACATTTTCTACTGGAAGGCCATCGTGGGCACCAGCCTCATGAAGTCTTGAACCAGCAGTGAGGACAGAACCGAAAGGTAGAGGATAGGGACGTAAAGTCCCATTTAATCAGTTAACCAGAATCCCCCCGAGCTGGTGGGTTTCCAGCCCAACTAGGCTAGAGTGGCTTCTCACCCACAGAATGGCACGGTGGACCTGGCTGGTGTAGAGCAGACCCGTGAGCAGAGTCTGATCTGGCCAGGCTGGGCTGAGCATGCTACTTCGCTTAGGCCAAGCCTGCCACATTGCCCCATGGTTGGGTGGCTGCTCTGGTCTGGCCGACTCTGCTGCAGGAAGGGACTCCTCGGGCCAGGCTGAGCCCACTGCACCGTGGGCAGGGGACTGCTCCAGCTGAGCCGGGCTCACTGTGCTGCAGATGGAGGTGGGTGGCTGCTCCAGCCCAGTCAGGCCACTGGTTAACTGGTTACCGGCACATGCCTAGTAGAGAATGTCCATCACATCCTGCTACACCAACATTACTGAAAGTCAAAAGCCAATAAGCGATCCCCTGAAAACAACAATGGAATTATAGCTGCCAGAGTCAACATCCTGATTTTTTTGGTTTTTACTAAGCAGCATACAAGATATAGCTCTACAATCAGCTTACACCCCTGTACCTTTTTTGGGACCAGCAAATATTTTAAATAAAATTATTTCCCACTGTGCTGAGCTAGAACTGGTTCTGTGGATCATAAGCATACAAAGGGAATAGTTTTGTGTCTCAGGAAGTGTTGGTGTGATGGGTCCCTGAAATGGGATGAGGAAACAGAATAAGGGCAAGAGGTGAAATGGATGATGTAATCAAATTTTATAAACCTTCCAATATCCATTTGTCTGATATAAGCTGCTTCCATGCAATCTGAAAATGAGAAAAATCATCTTCAAAAAGAGGGAGGGAGGAAATGGATAAATTAGTGCATTTATGGCTTCATGATGTGCATCTTCCAGATCTTCAACTAATCTATCAAAACTGCTGTTGTGATAATGAGGTTTATTGAGAGGTAGACATAAAGGAAGTAGGCAGTCTCTTTCTCTGGAATCTTGATTTCTCTCTGGGCTGTCCCGTAGATCTTTGATATCCAGAAAAACTCGATAGGAGAAAAACTGAAATCCAGAAAAAATGAGGTGGTATCTCTGCACCATTTGGGACCTATGAAATTTTCATTTATTTGCAGGTGTGTAAATTCCAAGGGACCTTAAGGTGGCCTTGGAATCAGTTGGAGTGTTCACAGACTTGTCAGTGGATTTAGCGAAGAGTTTTAATCCATCAAAAGGGAGGTTTCTCAACCATATTTTGGACCTCTTTGGGAAAGCCAGAGATCTAAAGACAAGATACCCAATGCACAACAGCTGCCATGAGAACAGTATGAACTAGATTGTCTGCCTAGCAAGAGTGAAAAACCAGGACACACTTTTTTCAAGGGGTGGAAGTATAGTTACTTACTTAAGACAAAGCCCCTAATATTGGGATGTCTAGTTACCTAGTGTTTCATTACTCCTTGGTGTCTATGGAAGCTTTGAATAGGTTCTAGTCATTAGCTGAACTTCAATAATAAGCCTCTGGAATTATTTGAGATGTTCAAACAGAAAATGCTCAATACGCGTGATTAACTTAAAATTATATTTTGCCACAAGAACATTTTGCAATCCTAAACTGAAAAATAGCACACGAGTAGCTCTTATGGCCAAAATGGTTGAGGTATTTTTGGCCCTTACCAAATGTTCTTTGTTTACTGTGGTGCTCTCTGCCATATTCATTTACAGAGTTAGATAAACAATGTGAATAAAATATTTTTGACAGGGACATAATACTTTTCAATCAGCACACTTGCATGGTGATATTGTTGTATGGGACTGCGAGATAGTCTTGGCAGGATCCAAGGGAAATTCATTTATCAATAAAGCCACTCAAGCTGAAGATGTCTATTGCAGGATATGTAGGAATTTGTGCTGTGTCTCTCAGATCTCTTCTAAGGGATTTGTAAGGAGTCCACACTACATTTAATTCTTGAAACTGGAAGGCAGAGCAGGCATGACTGCCTCATCTGGAGAAGATGAGGAGATATTTGTTTGCAGAGTAGCCTCATCTTCTCTAGCAACTTGTTCTTCAAAAAATCCCCTCAGCTGAGCTAGAGGAAGAGGAACAGATGGAGTAGGAGACTGTTTCCCTCAGTGATCCTCACAAGAAATGCTAGGAATTTTTGAAAACTGCTTTTGATAGGCAACCTGAGAATTCCAATGTGGCCACTTGATGGGGTTCATGTGGCATAGGACATGGCATCTAGCATTGGTCAAACCAATGAGAAAGGGTACAAGTTTGTCTCATTTATGGCTACTCTTTCCTTAAAAATACCAGGATGGCTGTCCCCCTTTTGGTAAGTAGAGGAATGCTGCACTGAGTCCTGGGACTAGAAAGAGAACGTCTCATCATAGAAGGATTCCTGCCAAACTCAACAGGTGACGAAGAATCAAACTGAATTAGGAAAAAGTTAACTTTCTCTGATTGTCTCAATCTCTGTACCCAAAGAGGTTCAGTAACTCATTAAAAGAAAACACTCTGTGCCTTCTGAAAGAAACAAATGGATTTAAGCTGACACTGAACAAAGTTCTACAGTCAATACAGTCTAGACTGCGGGGGTTTTCCGGGATACACATTTGCTCTTCCGCTTTTTTTTGCGGAAGAGCAAATGTGCTCTTTCAGAAGCTCTGTCTTCCTCGGTCTACAAGGAAGAAGGGATCTTCCAAAAGAGGGGGATTTTCCAAAATTTGGCCCAGTGTAGAAGGGCCAAATTTCAGAAAAGCCTCTTCCGAAAAAAAATTGGAAAAAGGTATGCAAAATGTGGAGCACATTTTGCGTACCTTTTTCCGACAAAAAGGTGTAGTGTAGACCTAGCCTGAATCTGTTTCGGTGGGTCCAATATGATAGAGGTCACTGCTGCCAAAGATTACTGCTTAGAGGGAGAGGGGCATTGAAATAGCATGAGACACCTGTTTCCTCACTGGTACCAAGGTAGTATAAGTGATTTGTTTAGTACCAAATATGGTGAGGAGTCTGTAAGTACCACCTTCATAGCGGTAGGAGTCTTCAGCAGCATAATCATGCTTGTGGAGTACCAAGGACATTTTCACTTCGAAGGATATTAAAAAGTGCTTTTTTTTGTAAACGTGTAACTGATAGGACTGTCAATTAGTGGGCATTAATGCCTGTGATTAACGCCGGGCAGAATTAACACGTTAAAAAAATTAACGCACATTAATCACAGAGGGCAGAAAACCAGCATTAGCTGCTCTCTCTGGTAAGGCGCAGTAATGCAAACTGCCACCAGAGGGCGCATGAAAAAATGAAGCAGCAAGAAAGGGGGAAAGAACCCTGAAGCCCTCCCAACTCTAAAAGAGAAATAAACAAGAAGCAAAGACCCTGACACCCATCCCTATCCCCTCCCAGGTGACCATATTTTTTTAAAATACAGCAGCCTGGAGAGTGGGGGACTTGCCCAAGCTGTCCCCCCCCTTCCCCAGCAGGGCTCACCCAAATCACCGTTTCTCTTTGCCTCCTGGGGTTGCGACTGACCCTACCCCACATCTGATTCTGGGGCTGAATTCCCACTCCCAAACTCTGCACTGCCCATGGTGGGGGGTCTATGACCCCCCCTCCGCCCAGGGGCTGACTCCTCCCCTGAGCTTGGGGACTGACCCCCACCCCTTAGCCCTATACTACCTGCAGTTGGGGGCTGAGCCCCCCCCAACTCTGCACTGCCCCTCGCAGCTGTCTCTTCGGCCCTGTGCTGCCCACAGCTGAGGCTTAGTTAAAAAAGAACTCTTTTGAATAGGACACAAATATACTGATTATATAGAAGAATTTAAGTTCAGCACTACAATACTTCACTGAGATAAACTGAAGGGTTTTTTTCATAGTGTAAGTGTTTTATAATAAAAAAATAAATATAAAGTGAGCAATATCACTTTGTATTAGTCTGTGTGCTAACTTAAATCAATATATTAGAAGATGTAGAAAACATCCAAAATATTTAAACAGACAGTATTCTAATTATTGTTTTACAGTGCGATTAATCACGATTAATTTTTTTAATCGCACAATTAATCGCAATTCATTTTTTTAATCACTTGTCAGCCCTAGTAACTGATTACATGTTCAGCAGTTATATGCTGCCTCCCTCCCCCCACTGCACGGCTGTCTCTGTATCAGAGGCAGCAGCCGGAGGCAAGGGGGAACGTGGGAGTTGGTACTTGCAGGGAGCACTGCCTCATGCCTACTCCCTGCTCCTCCCCACTGTCTCTTATACAGAGGCAGCAGTGTGGGAAGGTGGGGGGGCTTGCATGTAACTTTAAAAATTAACTGATGAGCCTGGGCTCATTCATTAACCATTTAAACATGAATACTAATGTATCACTATTCACTACTGAGACATATCTGGTATGATGACCCTTAAAAGAGCTAGATGCAGAACCAGTACCAACTGAGACCGAAACCTTACCAGTACCCAGAAAAGAACCTAAGATCTTTAGCATATTCTTATCTCAAGGAGACCAAGGCTTTTTTGAAGTAGGCTCCTTGGAAAAATTACTCCAGTCTTCTTATATCATCCAATGAACCCTTCTGTGTGAAAAAGGTGCAGATGCTATGTTCACTTGTAGGTAGGTGTACAGGGTGTGGGGGCTCTTGGTCTGAATCCAAGTTGGGAAAAGGGAATGCTCCATAATCAGGAGTTCATGCCTTATATCCTGATTTTTCCTAGTTCTGATTTTAAATGCTAAGCAGATAGTTCACTTTCGAGGGTTAAGAATATTCCCCCAAATAGCAAATAACTTGTGGGCGTCCTGTCACTGACTGGGATAAACTCCCAGTAGGTGAGGCAGTGCTTTAGACTTGGAGATACTGGCATACCCCAAAGATGAGGAGGATCTTGAGATAGAACACCTCAGAAAAAAGAAGTATGAAACAAACACCCCACACAAAATGAAAAATATAAAAAGCAAATAACTGCACTAACTAAACTTAAAGGTAGAAGTTAAATTTTGAACAATAGAAACAAGCATGCTAAATGTTCCATCCCAGGCCCTGGCTGTATGGCATCATCCATCCTAATACCACCTGCACCTCTGAATGTAACAGGGGTTTACTTTCTTAGGGTTCTTTCCTGTCTTCTCTTCAATACCCCACATGGCTCCCTTTTATACCAATTTCTGGGGCCAACACCCCCACCTACGGGTGCAGCAGCGATCTGGCTGCTTCCCTCCAATTCGGTAATGTGACACACTGCTATATACTGTTATTTAGTCACAGTTGAGTAAGGATGTGTTACCATTTGTGTTATTATTTTAATTCTTATATGAAATCCCCATTTTCCCACTTATTGTAATTTAATTCCCTAATACATTTGTTATCTTATTTTAGAGTGTCCTTCTTTATTTATACATCACACTGGGAGGGTACTTTGAGGGCTTACTCCAACCGAAGATAGATGCAGGAAAAGGGGCCTGCATCCTCTGAAACAGGGGACCCCCCTAATATAAGGGGTCTTTTTTTTTAATTTTCTATTTTCTTAGTTGCCTTTGCCCCTAAGTAGCAATCTGATTTTAACAATCCATACAGAAACTAAGTAGCCCAGTTTTCTCGCTAGGGCTATGTCTACACTGGCGCGTTCCCATCCAAAAACTCTTTTGCGGAAGAGTTCTCCTTCAAAAACTCTTCCAGAAGACAGCATCTACACTGGCATGTGCTTTTGCGCAAGAGATGTACTTTTGAGCAAGAGCATGCATGCCAGTGTAGACGCCCTCTTGCGCAAGAAAGCTCTGATGCCCATTTTAACCATAGGGCTTTCTTGCGCAAGAAATTCATGTTGCCTGTCTACACTGGCCTCTTGTGCAAGAACAGTTGCACAAAAGGGCTTATTCCTGAGTGGGAGCATCAGAGTTCTGGCGCAAGAAGCCCTGATTTCATACATTAGAACGTTGGTTTACTTGCGCAAGAACACGCGGCCAGTGTAGACAGGCAGCAAGTTTTTGCGCAAGAGCAGCTGCTTTTGTGCATGATCGCGCCAGTGTAGACACAGCCTAGGACAGTTTAAAAAAATCCCACTATTATGCTTCCAAATTTAAGTGTTTTATTCAGTTTCACACTTCTAGGATGAAAAAATGGCAAAAAGAAAATTGTCACACATCATTGCAGAATAATAAGTTGCTACAGGTGTGTGTTGCCAAACCTCTAGGCTGGAATGAATTAGCGTGGAGACTTATGCTAAATGTAAAATGATTCTGTAGACCAGGGGTGCAAATCAAACTACTTAATGAAAATATATTGTTCCTCTGTTTAATGTTCTCTTGACTCAGTAAGAACATTAACACTTATGAGAGAAATGCTGCTTATCTGAATTCTTGGTCTTGTAATGCTCTCATTACCTTAATTAAAGCACTATTATACTGCAGCCAACTAAACGTCTTTATCTATAAGTAATGTGCCATGATGTGCACAATACAAACTCATATACTGTTGTGATGCTCAACTCTGACCTTGGTAGTGACTCCATGGGAAACAGGAGATTCAGCCTCCATATGGACTTGATCCTGCAGACCAGCCTGAAGAGAAATAATTTTGGTTACAATCACGATACCATATACCTAGTGACTATATCATATAGAACTGTCTGCATTTCAGTTCAACTAAATATGTGTGTGTTGAAAAGGAAATCAAAGAATGGACAAACTTCTCAACATTTGGTCTGTAAAATTACAGAGGGACTTTGGCCTGCTACTCTTCCACTGAAAAGGCCATTTTTCAAAACTGCCTAAAATTGGCTTAAGATAACTTTTTAAAACATTGCATTGAATATTCTCTGACTAGTTTTTAGCCCAAAGGTGATTTAGAAAGAGAAAGTGGCAAAATTTTAATCTGTTTTTCAGTTAGGCTCTGGGGGAGGGGGCAAGCGCACAAAGTTTCCTCCGCCCTACCAGGAGTATGCAGTGCTTCTAAGCACCTTGTGCTCCTTGCAGGGCGGGGATAGGACAGAGGAAACTTTGCATGCTCCCCCCACGTCCAGGCCACTCAGGGCTTGGGAGTGGGGGATCACTTGAAGTTTCCTCTGCCCTGCAAGCAGTGCACAGCGCTTAGAAGTACCATGAGCTCCTGGCAGGGCAGGAAGAGATTTCACACGCTCCCCCGCCCCCAACCCGATTGGCCTGGGGGCAGAAGGGGGAGCATGCAAAGTCTCCTCCTACCTCAGGGCATAGTTACCTAGGGAGAACCTCTGGGGAGGGCAAAGACTTCACGTACTCCCCCACCGTTAGACCAATCATGGTCCGTAGGTGGGGAAGCAGGGAAGCTTGAGGCCCCACCCCTTCTGGTGCAGGCCAGGGCCACTTCAAAAATTTCTGAAGTGGCCCCCAGCAAAAAATTATTGCCCACCCCTGCCTTAGAGATAAAAATGTAGATGATATCATGAACCTTTGTGGGCATAACCCACTTCTTCAGATGAATGAAGCAAGGGGTCCGGGATACAAATAAATAGCAGAAAAAGAGGGGATGGGGAAGGAAAGAGAAGGAAAAAAATCTTATCAATTAAAGTGTCCATACTAAATGAGGCTAATAGAGTGGCCTTAAGTGCCCAGAACTTAGCTTTTGATGTTATTAGGTTGCTGAATGTGGCAGCCTATCCAGTTCAGGTCTTTGTTCAAACCCTGATTAAAGGTGTCAAATTTGCAAATGAAGACAAGTTCCACAGCTTCTCTCTCTAGCTGGTTTTTGAAATTGCTTTGTGATAGTATAGTCACTTTTAGATCCATTAATGTGTGCCCATGCAAGATAAAATGTTCCCCAGTAGGTTTCTGTGTGTTAGCATTTCAAATATCTGATTTGTATCCATTTATCCGTTGTCGTAGAGACTGTCCAGTTTGACCAATATACACGGCAGAGGGGCATAGTTAGCACTTGATGGCATAGATCGCATTAGTGGATGTGCAGTTGTATGAGCCTCTGATGTGGTGGTGGCTTATGTGGTTAGGTCTTGTGATGATGTCACTTGTATAGAGGTATGGACAGAGTTGGCACCATAGTTCATTGCAGGGGTAGGTTCCTAGATGAGTATGGTGGAGGTATGCTGTGTGGTTGCTGGAAAGAACTTGTTTCAGGTTAGGGGATTGCCTGTAGGGGAGGATTGGCCTGCCCCACAACCACTGGTCCAAGCCACTTCCCGCAGCTCCCCTTGGTTGCAAACAGTGAACCAGAGCCAATGGGAGCTGCAAGGTTCCATGACCACGGTACTGGTAAGTAAACACACTGGAGTGGCCAGTTAGCAGCTTTCTCAAAGTGGTTTCATGGACCTCTCTAGTCTGGTACTCTCTTGACTGGCAATAGCCATGGTCTGGCATGATTTTAGTAAGTCAGATGGCCATTTACCAAGGGGGTGGCCAGGTTTCCTGCGGTCACATCAAGTTTGTTTACAGCCACCTAGCCTGGCTTTAAGAACATAAGAATGGCCATACTGTGTCAGACCAAAGGTCCATCTAGCTAAGTAGCCTGTCTTCCAACAGTGGCCAATGCCAGATGCCCCAGACAGAGTGAACAGAAACAGGTAATCAAGTGAATCCTCTCCTGTCATCCATTTCCAGACCCTAACAAAGGGTATGTCTACACTACCACCCTAGTTCAAACTAGGGTGGTTAATGTAGGCAACCGGAGTTGCAAATGAAGCCCGGGATTTGAATTTCCCGGGCTTCATTTGCATATTTCCGGGTACCGCCATTTTTAAATGTCCGCTAGTTCAGACTCCGTGCCTGCGGCTACACGCAACACGAACTAGGTAGTTCGGACTAGGCTTTCTATTCCAAACTACCCTTAATCCTCGT